TCATTTCACACCCTCAAAGCTACTCTCACACCTGGCCTCTTTTGGATCCTCATAAAACCCCTGTGAGACAGGATGACAGGTGCCAGATGCACCGCCTTAGAGATGAGGAAGTGGAAACCCAGAAACACACACAGCTGATTCAATGTCACATTCACTGGGCCCTGGGCTGGGGGAGGTGCCAACACCCAGGTCCTCTGCCTGCACAGTGGTCTGGGAAGCAGCCTGTCAGCGGGAGGGGGCACACGTTTTGGAGAACACAGATCCGGGTTCAAATTCCAGGTCTGCCACTTACGTGTGTGTGTGTGGGGGGGGGGGGCCTAGAGCACATGTCATCACCATTCGTTAAGATCTGTTTCCCATCAAAATAAAGTATGCATGTTACCCATAACTCACATTAGGTCTCCAATGCAGGAACACGCTCTGTACCTTCCCAACTGCAGCCACGTGCCAGCAGCAGTCCTCCGAGAACGTGGATTTCCATCCTTCCTCTTCCCACTGTGTTTGATACCCCAGCCCAACGTCTTTGACATTTAACTTTCAGCAGCATTACTGTACCTCACTCTGCCCAACAGGGTCTGCTTGCAAAGGAGAAAGAAACCAAAACTCCATGCATTAATCTTTTTAAGGGCACGGAGAGGCCAACACTTGGGAAAATCAGTGATACATGTATACTCTTATAACAAAGTGAATCAGCTACATGTATACACATTATCCCCATATCCCCTCCCTCTTGCATCTCCCTCCCACCCTCCCTAGCTCACCCCTCTAGGTGGTCACAAAGCACCGAGGTGAGCTGATCTCTCCCCATGCGATGCAGCTGCTTCCCACTAGCTATCTAGTTTACATTTGGTAGTGTATATATGTCCATGCCACTCTCTCACTCCATCCCAGCTTACCCTCCCACCCCCGTGTCCTCAAGTCCATTCTCCACTCTGCGTCTTTATTCCTGCCTGCCCCTAGGTTCATCAGAACCATTTCGTTTTTTTTTTTTAGATTCCATATATATGTGTTGGCATTCAGTACTTGTTTTTCTCTTTCTGACGTACTTCACTCTATGACAGACTCTAGCTTTTAATACAAACTTGTCAGGGAACTAGATCCCCCATGCCGCAACTAAGACCCAGCACAGCCAAAAAAATAAGTAAATTAAAAAAAAAAAAAAAAAAGAGCCATTTAGGAAGCAGAATCTAGGATGACCCTCAGGTTCCTGGGATGGGTGAGTGAACCGCCACATGGAGTGTATGGATGATTCCTTTCCTTTTTACCTAGAGAACTCGGTGTCCCAACAATTAGCCGATAAGCCTTCGTAAGCTGAGCATAGCTACCCTATTTTCCAACTCTCCATAGTGGCCATTACCCTACTGTACGCCTGGAGAGGCACACCTCACTCAGCAGCACAATTGCTTTCAATTATTAACTTCCCTAAACATTCCTGGACATAAAAACAGCTCACATGCAAAAAAAACTAAAGGACATTCCACTGAACTGAGGCTCTCAGTCACCTAATATTTGCTTGGGGTAAAACGTGAAGTTCACAAAAGGCAGCAAAATATCAGAAATCAACAAGCAGAAAATATTCCTTGTGTTAAGTAACAGACATTTTTAAGAGTTTCCTTTAGATTATCCATATTTTTACCATGTCGTTAGGATGACCTGTTGAAGGTTGGTAGTATTATTCATATATTGCCTATTTTTATGCAACATCTTTCAAAATATAATGATATAGATTATAAATATAATTGTGTACAAATATAACGCAAAGGAAACCCCCTCAAAAAGGCTATTTTCACAGCTATTTTACTTACATATCCATGAAAGTTTGGCCTCTGCTTCCCTAATTCTTCCCAATTCTGTATTTTATAAAGCATTGGTTTGTTTCTCTGGCAGTAGGATTTGATGTTGATGGAGATTTTTTTTTAATGCCCTGTACAGCCTAGACTATTCCTACAGCTGTCAAGGAAACTTAATAGTGGTATAGCTTCTGGGGAGGGGTACCGGGTGAGGAGGCCAGCTTTGTGCTGAATTCCCACCTGCACCCCCTTCATTTTGCACCGTGTGCCTGTAGTACTTATTTTTAAAACAGAAAAGCCCTCGCAGGAAGAGCTCAAGAGGGGCTCAAGCCATTCGAAGAAAGTAGAAGTCTCGTTAAAGTAAGAGGGAGAGTCTCCGAAACACACTTGAAACACACCAGCTTGAACGACAATTTTATTCTTAAAAGCAGCAATTTTTCCGGAATTCAAAGTGCAGGCGTCCACCAGTAACTGAACTGTCAGGTCTGCCAATAATAACCATGCAGAGTGACTAAACATTTTTTCCAACAAAGGAAAAAATGCATTGGATCAAAGCGCAGAACCAGCCCCGGGCCGGAGCGGGTTAGCGTTTCCGCCTCCCACCTTCCCACCGCCTTTAGACTCCAGGCTGCAACTTTAATTGCTCGCTTGGAACGCGTCCTCACAGGCAATGCCAGCAGCTGCGGTCGGCGCGGCCCGCCCCTCCCCCCACGGGCGTCACGTGACGGCTGAGAAAAGTAGGGGAAAGGTTACCGCGAGCCCCGCCCCCGGCCTGGCGCGCCCCGGGCGTTCAGATCCTGTTCCACCGGGCCGGCCCGGAGACACCTTCCGGAGCGAGCAGGCGCGCGTCGGCGGCGCTGCCACTCCGGCGACAGCAGGCGAACTGCAGCGACTCTGGGTGGGAAGGCCGAGCCCTGCATGGTCAACTTTGGGGACAGTTAAGAGCTTGGTGTGCCCGAAGACAGCCCACACCAGAAACGCTGCGCCGTGCCCCGCGAGCCCAGAGCGCCTCCGGAAGAGGCTCACCGCGCAGCCCAAGGAACAACTAACTGTGCTTCCATGAATGGGCACGCGGAGCCAGGGTTGCGTAAGCCCGGGCCCTCACCCCAGGACTCCCCGGAGACCCAGGCTTGACCGCTCGGTGACCACGGGGGCTGGAGCTGGGGCCAAGGCCGGGCGGCAGCGACGCCAGCTTTCTTCCCTTCACCTCTGGGTTAGGCCGCTTGTTTTCAGTACAAACTCGAAAGGTTATTTCGGCCTGTGCATGACGCCAATTTCTGCCACTCTTGATACAAAGTATGTGCACTCCTTAAGATGGCTCTTTTTCTGATTCCAACAGCTGTTCAGATGGAGTTCAATGTGCAAGATCAGGTTTGGCCACACATCTTTGGAAGGAAACCGTTCATTTACATACGAAAAGCAGCCCCCGGGCACGCAGGGGCAGAACCACCCCAAACTCCGCCGAGAATTTTGCTTTCAGCTCCTATCACTTGCAACTAAACACTCCCTCGCCTCAACGATAAGCATTATCGTCTGCATTAATGTTCTCATTTATGCCACACTCACTAAGAGTCACCTTAAATAATTTGGAAAGGGGGGTGATGCTTGCTGGCATAAAAAAATAATTAAAAGACCAGTGTGTTCGGCCATTTTTTATTCATTTGGTTTGTGGTTTAGAAGGAAATAAGCATGCTTGAATATCTGGAATGCCCAGAAACCGGAAGCCTGTGTGAGAAAATGGTGTAACAAAATACACTTTTCAAAAGGTTAAACTGATTTTATTTGGTGACTTACAAAGTTAGCAGTTTCCTACTAAAATCTGCCCTTCAATATTTTGGTATCACATGGAGCACAGAGGAAACCGAAAGCAGCTCCGAGTTGGGAATATTAAGTTCTGTATTCAACCTGATTTCTCGAGATTTTTAACTCTTGGAGTTAAAAAAGTAAGATCATCTTTGTTCCGTTCGGCTTTAACGTGAGTCAACCACCGATTTACACTATAAAGACACTGATCCACAGCCTTTCCAAAATGAAAGGAACTGTCTGCTCGCCCAGGGAGTTGGGGTTAGGGGCTGCCGGAATAGGGGCCCCGGGGCCCGGGCTGCTCTACCGCCCAGACTGTGCTGTCCGGGCTCGCAGGCCAAGTTCGCCCAGGCCTGGTCACGTGAAGCGCCCACACCCTCCCACCCCCTGCAAGGCAAGCTCCCCGGCCCGGCGCGACCTTGGGCAGGCTCTCCTCGCCCACCTGCCCTAGACCGCGCGCCGCATGGGGGGATGGAGGATGCTCGCAAGAGGGGACCCAGGCCCGGCGCCTCCATTCGCATCCACCTAGGGCGCTTGGACACCTCCGGGAGTCCCAGCGCCAAGGGCGTGTCCCCACGGCTGCGCTGCGGGGGCGGGAGCCTGGAGGGGGTCGGGAGCCTGGAGGGGGTCTGCGGCGCCCTGCTGAGTCCCTAGCGTCCCTCTGGCTCCCGCTTGGGCCGGCCCGCGACCCCGGGACGGCCCCGCAGACCCAATCCACTCTCGGAGGGGGAGGGGATGGGGCGAGATAGAGGAAGGATCCGCGGCGCCCTGCCATATCCCGAGGGCTGAGCATACCTCCCGCCGTCGCGTCCTTTCCACTGCCCTACCGCGGATCCCCAGACCCAATCCACTTCGGCGAGTGGAGTGGGATGCTGGGGAAAGGGAACCGGCAGTCCCGGTGTCCCCTGGCCGGGGGCATCCTGCCAAGTCCGGAGAGTCAAGCGTCCCTCCAGCTCCCATACGGTACCTGCTCGCAAGGCCGACCGATCCTCGGGCAGACCCCGAGACCCAATCAACCCACTCCTGGGAAGTGACGGTGAGA